GCTCTGGAAAACCCTTGTGGCGTACGTTATTAATGCCTCCAACGTAACCTTAGTCGTGAAATACCTTGACGATACCCTGACATATTTACACTAAGTAATAGAGCCCATGACATTCAGCTAACGGCGTTAGTGCAGAACAAACAATAAAAGTCCGACAGAAGCACTCACACGTGTGCTACTCTAAACCCCTTGATGAGTCAAGTATCTCACGAGTTAGTTTACAGAGATCACTTTATATCCAGTACTTTTCACACTAACAACCCTAAGCGATTTGAAAAGCATTCGATTTTATACCCATTATGAACCTTCGCTTCGTCGAAACAGGGCAGACGCAGAAAGGCGTGTGTCATCGTGCAGAAATCTCGCAAAATATTAACTCACTAATCAACAGTCGGTCAAAGGTGAATGCCTTGGCTTTGAGAAGTCAATCATAAGCTAATGGTGTAAAGTATAAACGTTAAGTGCATAATAATACAGGTATGAAAAGCACATGTTTGTAAAGATGCGGTATGCTAACGATAGAATGGTATGGGAAGGAGGGTTCAACCACCAATTTCGGGAGGAACACAGCATTCTACTTGAGTTTTGCAACGCTGACTCACCAATATTGCGAAAGAGCCCATGGACATCATGACGGGAAGCAAAATAACATGTGGAGTAGACTCTTTTATGTGTGCCTAATTGTGAGTGTTATAGTGAGTTCACCAAGACGCTTTTTAGCCGCAATCATTTCTTCTCCATTATTGCGGTTCTCATGCTGACCATCCTACGGGACTTTATGCACTCTTGCTTATTTACCGATAGTATATAGTACGAACATGTATGAAGCAGAAGCCATCTTACTACTTCATCACGAGACTGCGAGCAATTGTCATTGTTTTCCGGTGGATTGAACTTCCCATTACCAACATGAGCTTAATAAACACAAACAAATCTCTAACCTTCGGTTGACTGCAAGTGGGTGAAAGCACCACACATCTGCGAGATAAATTCTTTATAGGACGCAGGACGCGAGCTAGACTGATACATTGTGCCTTCGAGTGCTTGAGGAATAAAAGGATTACTTCGGGTTCTAACTATATCTGTCGAACGACTGCAGATCCCTCTGAGGTTGTGAATGTTTGCCCACCTGTGCCAGTGCACCACTGATGATGCAATTTGGCTGGGTCATTTTCACTTGCACTGAAGTCAGGCTAGAACAATCAGCTTGCGACACAGGTTTGCAATCGCCTAGTAAAGGTACGGAATGCCATTTTTGAGCTGTGGGTATACTCTCGTCTTCCTGAGATGATCATCATACGCAGGGAGAATAGTGTGCTTCATCCTCCTAAACACAAACTACAGATCTTATCTGAATGGTGTGTAGCATGATCGAGAGCCGGTAATCGTCAAGCATAAACTACCTGTGGAGTGCGATGAATGTGCTCTTACATCATGGTGGAGCTCGTGACCATCGGGTTAGGCTGTGAATTTCAGCCTTCCTATTCCAACTGGAACGGATCGATTATGTGTAAGATTGCATTACAAAGTAGACAGAACGGTTACATAAGAGTAAGAGAGAAATGTTCGAGTATAAAAAGGAAGTTGGAGACTGTTCCAAAAACCTGAAATGGGACACACGAGTGTGACGCCGAGTGACTATTAAACTGCGGCGAGTTAAGCAATATGACAATTTGGAGGGTCAATTTGAAATACACGTTGTGTGAATGGATTGCGACGCGCCATCTCAAAGTGGAGCGCGACTCCCATCGAAGTGAACCTTGGCTATTCGGTCACTAGGACCGAATTGGACGTTTCCCGGGTTCGTTGCCTGCTGTTTCCAACTGATGGGAGGAAATAGGCTAGAAAAGCGTCATAGTAGTGCAGTGTTTTCAGGCGAGCAACACCCACTTCGCTCCTGCTTCATCAGCAAAGGTCCTAGTGATCGAATGGCCAAGGTTCACTTCAATGGAAATCGCTGGTCCACTTTGAGATTGCGCGTCGCAATCCATCCACACAACGTGTACTTCAAATTGACTTTCCAATCTGTCGTTAACCGTTGTGCCAAGCTTTGCCCGTCGTGACACGGTGGCTTAAGGGTGGCGGTCACAACTAACATCCCAATGGTCCCGGGTTCGATGCCTGCTATCTCTATCTGATGAGAGGAAATAACCTCGAAAAGCGTCATGGAGTGCAGTGGTTTCAGGCGGGCAACACCTAATTTGCTGCTGCTTCATCAGCTACGATCCTAGTGACCGAATAGCCAAGGTTCACTTCGATGGGAGTCGCGGTCCACTTTGAGATTGCGCGTTGCAATCCATCCACACAACGTGTACTTCAAATTGACTCTCCAGTCTATCCTTAACCGTTATGCCAAGCTTTGTCCGTCGTACCCCGATGGCTTAGGCTTAGCGGTCACAGCTAACATCCCATTGGTCTCGGGCTCCATGTCTGTTTTCTCCATCTGATGAAAGGAAATAACCTCGAAACGCGTCATGAACTTCAGTGTTTTCAGCATATGACAAGTGTTTTCATATGATGAATATCTTTGTTTTCAATCTGGGATTAAGAAAACAGCAGGGGAACTCATCGAGTGAACTATTCTACTGACAATTTATGTATAGCTCAATCGACTTCGGTCGTTGAGTCAGTGCATACCAGTGATATACTATGGTGCCAACCGTCCGAGTGTGTAGAATCACTTGTTGATACAGAGCAATGATTGCACATATGCCCATTGTTCTTTTCGCCGAAGCTCAGAAGTGGATGGTTGTGCTATTGAACTGGCTTCCGGAGAAGCTCGCTGAAGTGAATTCAAGTGTATGTCGACGAAATGATTAGGTGTAACTATCGACCAATAACAGCGACAAGGGTTCACTGCTGATCAATGGCTAGCTGACAGTGTGAACAGCATTCAGCATGGTGACGTGCTCATATTGTGCGTACCTGTCTCTTGTCAGACAGACAGCAACTTATACACCAGTCTATAAATTTGTGATATCCATGCACACCCGGATTACTCTTGACAGCCACAAACCAAGCATAGTTCGCTCGGGTGTATGAACTTTGTTTCTGGCACTATCACTAATACTTGTATTCCACCACAGAAATCAGGGATATGCAATCTCCACTGATTGCGGGCTCTCGCTGTCTTTCGGACAGACGGAGCGCGCAGTAGTGATCAGCCACGAAATGGTGAAACGGCTGTTTATTACTTCGTTGCATGTACACTGGTTATCCGGCTAAGTGAGGTTTTACGGAAGCATTTTAGTTTAGCGATTTACGAAACCGCCTGCCACATTCGCAACGCGCTCATGCAATGACTATGCAACTGCTCAGCACATTCGATAACTGACTCCCCAATATCACCGTTATAAGAGATCAAAATCGTTGTCTGTTGCCAACAGTATAACCAGTGTCGAGTGATTTCAGAAACTATCTGTCCGTTGTTCTGTTGTATAGTCAAATTGCATCATCAAAGAGACTGTCAATTCCCACCTTGGTACGCACGTACACTCACGATATGATGAATCGCAATCTACTGCACCATTTGCCACACTTTCTCTAAAATGTATCCAGATCACGCGGTGTATCAGTCTGATTTGAGGGAAGAACAGCCGGGAGAGAATTCTTTGCATTCGCCAAAGTAGAAATGTTAGTCATATTACTAGCAATGGGCAGAATTTATTCCACGATGCTTGCATACGAAGTGGTCAAGGTTTGACGTTAGCAAACAGGCTTCTCTTAGCTTGCCTCTGAGCTGTCAAGAGATGAACGAATCACAGCGCATTGGACACCACACACTCTGTCTATTTCAAGCTATAATTGATTGAGTATTGCAAGTTACTGACGGTCGCATTTACTCAACCACACTAGTAGACCTCACATTATTCAATAGGTCTGAAATCACAAATCGTTTTGACTCGTGTCTTTCCGGTCACTGGGTGGTGCACGGTGAGCACGCAGAGCAGTTTCTATGGACAGAATCGCGCTGGTACCAATGTATCCTAATATCCATGCTTGTATATCATTCGGATGAATTTCCGGTGATCCGTAAACGGTTTAACGCTTCGAAAGAACTAGTTGGGAACCCTTGATAGTGTATGTTATGCCACCACCCTCATTCTATCAGATTTTCCGAACAATTAACTTCATCTAATTAGCCTCGATGACAGGCCAACGAACAGTACTATAGCTCCCCTTAGTTCAATACCTGTACGACTACGCAAACGTAAGCAAGGATTGTCAAAGTAGGCGATGGTGTATGTTGAATTCCGTTGATACTGGCGCCTAAATGCCGCATTCCGCTTGTTCACTAACATCCACGACAAGAACTGTAACAGCCAATCCGTTTGTCTGTTCGTCTGTACATGGACATGGCATCAACTGCTGCATGCAAGGTATGCCTTCCACTTTAGGAACGATAACCCTAAAATTTTCGAGAGCCATTTGGAATCTCATGAACTGCTTAAATGCGTATTTCTGCTACTTGATCTCTATTCGACAATACGTCATCAGGCTAGCTGTGATGATGGGAAACGTGACAGAAGTAATTTCGCAGAAACAGATAACATCGCTTATGGCACAAAGCATAGCGTTGGCCTAACCTTCCGATTCGGGTATATTTTAAGTAACGAACCTAACATGAACGGGATTTACCAAACTTGTGCCGTCAGTACTGGAAATGAGACCTCGAACTCTTCCGGTTCCCCTTCAGTAGCATGACGATGACTGGTGAAATGCTGTTCGTCAGCTTGTTCAGTGCATGTTTTAGCGACATACTGAGTGACGTATGCCCAAGGACGTACAAAATAAAGTCCAAAAGTAAGTAACTCGTAACTTGAAATGAATTACTATTTATGTATATACAATAGAAATGCATATAGATCATAATCATTACTGTTGCCCACAACTCTGAAATGATTCAACATCTCGCGCAGTTAATTCAAGTTGCAGTTTCGTATACACAAATGCCGCAGTTAAGTGAATTGTTTGATCTATGGTCTGCTCCTCCGGAAGCTTTATATGTAGTATCGCTGCCTGAGTTCAACAGGAAGGCCACTCATGTTGCCACCACGCATAGCGTCGTTATAGTCACTAACTACATATTCACATGCAACAACTACACCATCGTCAAATTCATCCTCTCCATCTTCTTCGACAACTTCCAACAGGTAGTCGCATGTGTACCAGTTGTTATCGTCATACTCATCCGGATTCGCCACGTAGCCCGGCGAACTGCTGTAGGACCAACGGCTGAGTGCAATCACCAGCGCCACTAGTAGTGCGGAGACCTTCAGTGAATGCTAGAAAGTAAACAACATGGTCAACCAATAATCGCAAGTTAGCAGCTTTCATGTCGTTGAATCACCGGACACTATTTTACATGATCAGACTCTACTTACCATTCTGTTACTTTGCACTCACTAAAGCCGACTTCCACTGACAACTTTTATACTGCAATCAGATGTATTAAATTGGCAACTGAGGACGCTGATTAACCAGAGAAGAGGTTTAGTTCTTGTCCCGAGTAACTGGCCTTCTAAGGTCATCATATGAATTGTTAGTCGAGGTCAAGGATGGATCGTTCCAGAATCAGGTTGGCACGCACGCAGCTTCTGTGCTCCATGAGGATTAAACGTGCCGACGACCGCAATTGGCTGCTGTAGCAAACGCCTAAATTAGCGCTGTGCTATCACACTAGACGCTGTGGTGGAATCGACGGAAGATAACTTTTTATCTCGGTAGAAACTGGAATGATGACGAGCAGCTGTGCAATATTTCCAGTGATTTGCATCTTTTTGCTTAACGTCCGTTTTATCAATTAGTGGCGCCATGATTTTTCCACGTCAAACAGCTTTCGGGGTTGCTCAACTAAGCTCAGATGCTCACAGCCATGTTTTGTATTAGCATTTTCGTAGAACTCTAGCAAGAAACCTCAATCTTTATCGTACGCCGCAATGGTTATGTAATCTCACGCATGCACAAATATATTGGCCACGTTTCCAGCATATCACGCACCACCAATGGAAAAACCATTAATCACATTCCCATGTCACTTCGTTTCAACTTGGGGAATCTTTCCTGTCTGTTTAACCCCATATCTATGCTTCTGTAAATCTCATTCTGACCAATCTGTATTTGTTCTACAGTTCACAATGTGTTTGGTTGCATTACTCTGCTTAGGATTACTTCTGGTTCCCCTGACAAAGACAATTCTGTGTGAGTTGTTGGCCTTTTGACTAATGCATTTGTTGCTCTTCTTGGGTTTAGACCTACTAACGTTCCTCGCTCGTGATCCGTTCTTCGCTGGTTCCGTGAAGCTTGTCGTGCGCCGGCTGATCTCATTCATGATTCTTGTGCCTGTTTCTGTTCTTGCCTGTTCTTGTGACTTTCCATGTGAACGTTGTTTTCCGCGCCCCCACCTGAACGATAATACATCTGACGACGAGCCAAATTAATGTAAGAAAAGTTGATAATGTGAAATAACAGTGGAATTTCACGTTGCAAAGCAGTAATAATAACATCACTTTGGGACCAGCGATCGCAGCAACAATAGAAAATGGAATTCGGTTTGTACCTTCATCAAACATAGAGTGTGCATAGTACAGCTTAGTAAAATAAATGCATAGACATTCTTGTGTCTAAAATTTCAATACAAGTGATTACTAAGTTGATGTATAACATAGAACAACCACATTGTTATCTCTGTTAGCATTCCATAAGTGCAGCCTACTTGCATGGTTCGACAAACAGTCCATAAGGTATGCGGGAGTGGCTCATAGATTGCTGCTAACATTCGTGATTGTGTTGTCAAACATTTGCATTGTATGGTTCTTCCTGGGCGTTCCACAGAAAGAGCATGTAAACGGATGCAGTAAGTGAAGCATCTAACTTTCAAATTCTCCGCTTTGCGTCGGCTTTTTCTCCTGAAGGTTGATTGGGAACAGCCCCACGGGAACTGACAGTTTATCGGACAATGTAAACTAACCTGTGATAGGGGAATCTCAAAACTTGAGAACTACAGTCTTACACTGAGATGTCACTATAAATATATAAATATATATATATATATATATATATATATATATATCTTTGCAACAGTCTATGAATAGATATAGAGCAATCAGAAACCATGGAACACAAAAGAAGGTACAGAAATAGTAAAAGAAAAGACAACACGACACATCAAAGTCCATGGTTTCGTCAGAGGGCGTGATACTACCCGGTTGCCCAAGCTGAAGTAGGGTGTTACTTAGGGGACACCACCCCGAGCCTTTTGCTGAATAGACTGCCCGCAAGGCAGCGGAGGGAATTCAAGGAACGGCGCCTATTGGGAGCCGGTGACTGATTGCTCAGTTCATACGCCTTTGGTTTGTTCCTTTGTCAAACAGGTGCCCAATGCTCCCCAAAATTATAGCATAAACTTGCTGGAATACAATGCTTCGGAAGGATGAAGCAAGCGGCAGTGAGTTTATTTAGTAACGGGTCACGTCCGCCACGTCACAGCGTTGTTAAATGGACATATGTGGCTTTTATAGGGAGAACGCTTGCCACGCGAAAACTCACCAGGTCCTGGAACACTACCGCCGAACCATTTGCTGGAACGGGAAAATCCCGAACCACCCAGCTGGCACCACGAGGAAGTTGTTCGGCAAACTAGCCAAAGTACATCGCTAGCAGTACGCCCTAACAGCGTTTCACTGCCACGCGACCACCACCAGTCGCGCGTGGGCTGAGAATACCATGAGGACGCCTGCCCCTACGCGGATTCGAACCGGTGACCTTATGGTTTCAAACCTGACGCGCATACCACTCGGCCACTGGTCGACCAATGAGTGGTCATAACTCGGAGAACTTGCTGACTATACGTGAAGCCAGTGAACAGGATTATTACAATAGGTTAAATTCTTGAAAGCACTGGTAATGCAAAACCTCTTCAAGAGTCTTCATCCGTTACCTTCGCAGTGAGTACATGGGGGTCAGATCAACTGAAGGAAACGGTGTTGCACTCGGTGAGCTTGTGTGAGGCCAGATTCAACCCGTAGGCAAATTTTATTAGAGTGCGCGCGGTTACTTCACTGGTCGTGGTAAGGTTTGTCTTGAATCTTTCCAAAGCACTTCTTTATTATTGGCCCATTTAGCAGCAAATCGGGCTCACGCACAGGCTACTTATGAAGAGGGCCTACAGGGGAGCAAAATATGAGAGAACTTATACAGAGGTTCACTGCCATTTTTAGTCATGAGATCCATTCAAATGAGTTGTACAGTACAGCTTGACGAGTTAATAGTCCATCTAGCGGAAAATGAATTTTTCTAATCGAAACCAATTATTCATTAGCGAAGTTTGGACAAATCAGGCTTCCAGTGTATATCTCAGTGGTTGAAAAGTTTTGTATGAAAAAGCTGTTAGGTGTGCGTATTCCATTTCGGTACTTCTATGTTAATAGACTTGAGCGGCGTGCTCGTTATGCTCGCACTTTGTGTGAACAGGTATGAAACACAGAAGGAATGACATAAGCTCTGTCCCTGTGCCCGAGGCATCACAACGATAAAGTTTTCTGGGGGTGTTACTTTGGAGTATTCAACTTCACTACTGTACAAGTAACGGAAGTCGCATCCATTTGACACAAATTAAAAGGTGTGGCGCTGCTCCCAGATGAGCGACTTATGACTTGGAGTATGCTGACGACATTGTCCTCATCTGTGATAGGCCACAAGTATGCCAAGCTGTCCTCTGAGATTGGTAGGGACCCAATCCTGCGGTGACCCTCAGTGGGGATCAACCGGAAATCGTTCAGAAATTCAACTACCGAGGCAGTTATATCGGCGTCTGTAAATTCGAAAACGAGGTCAGAACCGTACAGCGAAAGCTCGAGTGAGTTTTGCTAATCTCTACCGCCTATGGTGCCGGGGCAATATCACCCTCCCGGCGGCTACTTGGGGACCTCATTTTATTATTTTAAAACCTACTGAGCAACCCTAGTCACGTACGCCTTAACCTATTCAACAACAGTCCGAATACCATCCAAGGAAGCAGTAGCCTGAAACTGAGTCAACCATACAGTCGTTTACATTGTCGACAAACTTGTTTCTCCCTCTGGGACTGCTACTCTGAGAACACCCATTCAAACTCAGTTGTCTGTGCCCGCACCTTTGTTATTTCCAAAAAAGACGGTTTAAGATCGGATTGAACGCCCTACAGTTTGTTACATGGATCTATACGCTGGATATTTTCAGGCTAGCTAAAGTTTATGGAATTATCATCCACAATGCTGCCCGTAAATCTCTACGAATGGCTGGGCAATCTGCCTCTTATTCACTATTATCGTTAACCATAACAACTTGTTGGTCAGTTTTGCATGGTAATATCTCCCACCTAAAACCCTCCTTTTGTACGACATTTTTCAGTCTACTCGACGTTGCGCATTTTTTTGGTTCTTTTACGCAGTATGCGAATTTTAATTTCCTGGAGTATCAACCTAAGAGACATTACTGATGACTGATGACGTTAGCCAAATGTGTGAACCCTTGGACTGTTACTGTGCGGCCTTATTCGATTCAGCTACCAGTATGTCCCATCCTCTCATAAAACGGGAGACATTTTAGGTGGTCTCGAGTATTCGCGTGTGCGTGAGTGATGTTCAAAGGAGTATACTCTCCATAAAACCGTCATTACGGCCAGGCTCCGACGGTATTCCTCCGGCTGTCATTAAGTATGGAGGCAAAAAGCTTCCTCTGCTTATGTTAAACCTCTTCACATTATCCTCAAATAGTGGGTATTTCCCTCCACAGTAGAAACACAATAAAAACACCAAAACACATAGGTGGCTCCCGATTGCAATGGCGAATTATCACCCTATTAATCATACTACGGCAGCCTCAAAGACATTGGAGTGAATTGTCAAGAATGTTCTTGTTCAATTCTTAACAAGGTTAGACATGATAAACAATGCACAGCACAGCTTTCTCACGAAGCAATGCTGTTTAACCTGTCAAATACAATTCTCCGACCACGTAACATCAGTTGCTGACAAGGGCGTGACAGTTATTGTCATTCTACTGGACATGCACAAGGTCATCGATGGTGTGCCACATAAACCTTTGCTGTTCGTCCTGCACTCTTACGAAGTCAGCAACCCATTGCAGCTGATTTAAATCCTACCTAGAAGATCGGACACAGAGCGTTAAAATAGGTCAGCAACTCCCATCCTAGAGAGGAGTTACAAGCGGAGTTGTCTATGATGGTGTCCTAGAACAACTATTCTTCCTAATGTATTTAAATACCATAGGTGATTCCATCAAACATAGACGATTATATCTCTTTGCGGACGATATTATCTTCGTCTACTCACACATACATAAGGAGTTATCTGCGCTGGACACTTGGAGTAAAAATTGGTCCATG